GGGGGGGGGGGGGGGGGTACGAGGGAGAGCTCAGGTCGCTCTTTCGCGACACGAAGGAGATTCACGTCTTGCTTCATAGCATCGCTTCTTTTTTTTCATCTTGAGTACGAAAACGACAGCGAAGCACAGAGACAACGCAGGTGGGAGCGAGAGGGGGGGGGGGGGGGGGGGGGGGGGGGGGGGGGGGGGGGGGGGGGGGGGAGGGTGAGCAAGGAGGGCTCGTTGTGCGACGCGAAGGGGAGTGAGATTTTGTGAAGGGTAAACTAATTCTGCGCAACTTAGGGAACGGGTTCGGCGGTACAAGGGTGTACGTCTGTGTGTGGGGGGCTCCATGCTCAACGTTGTTGTTGTTGTTTCCTTCACATTAAACTCATCTCGACACAGAAAAACCGCCATGCCTGCCGTTCTCTTGGCAAGGCAACCAAGCCACAAGATCAAAAGCCGAAGCGGGACACATTGAGGGCAACACAAGTGCAACCCATCGATCCCGGAAGGGGCGGGGAGAGTGAAACGATCACTCTCACAAAACAGATTTCATTTCGGTCGTTTGCCTGTACCCTTGCCGGGGTGTCCAGCTGAGAAAAAAAAAAAGGACAACGAATTGGGCAGTACGGAGTAATTGAGAATAACCTTTCTCTAGAAAGAGACCAGGCTTGAGAGAGAGAGAGACAGAGACAGACAGAGAGAGAGAGACAGAGAGAGACAGACCGACAGGAGAGAGGCAGACAGACAGACAGACAGACAGACAGACAGAGACAGACAGAGAGACAGAGAGAGCGAGAGAAAGGGAGAGACAGAGAGACAGACAGAAGAGTTTCGCCGCACACCTGAAGTGATGGCAAGATTCGCTCCGCTCGACTCTCCCACAATCGCGATGCGGTGTGGGTCACCCCCGAACGCCCAGATGTTCTTCTTCGCCCACCTGATGGCTGACACTCCGTCCTGCGGCAAAGCACGTCATCGGCATCATCAATACATTTATGCACTGTTGGAACAGACACGTCAGGGGCGTCGACACCAGGCACGTCGTCATTGCTACGTATGGGGTGTTAGAAAAGGCTTGATGATGGCACGAAAAGGGGGGCGAAAGGCCAACGAAGACAGCGGCGGCGGCAGCGCCACAGGAGCTGTGAGCACGTCTACGCCCAGAGCACGCACGACGGAGGGGGGCGGGGGTGTTATGTCCGTGGTTTCTTGCCGAAGGCGCACTGCTGGTATGGTTGGGGTGGGTGGGTACAAATTCTGCACCAGAAGAAAGTCGTGCTGAACAAAAGTAGCTGCACTTTGAGACATTACAACGGTAGAGGGATAGGCTTACTTCTCACGGGTGTAAAGCAGCAGCAGCAGCAGCAGCAGCAGCCACAAGCAGCAGTGAGTGAGTGACACCCTCCAAGCTCAAGTCCATCAACACGAGCACCGCACAACGAGTGATAACTGACGGTGGAGTTCCTGCTGACTGGCCGCTGGATCAGCGCGTGCTGCTGCGGGAAGAAGTGGGCGGAGGGCCAGACGTACTTCTACCGTCCACCCACGACAACAAGAAACACGACGATTCGCCACGGCACCCACGACAACAACATCAACAACACCACCACCAGCTAACCCCTTCCCCCCCCCCCCCCCCCCCCTGCCCACCCCGTCCTCCGGTTGCTTCAACAACGCGCCTGCTCTCTNCCCCCCCCCCCCCCCCCCCCCCCCCCCACAAACAACAACAAGCGCGCGAAACAGAAAGAAGCAGAGATACGCACCTTCACTGGGCCCGGGAACTTGACCTCCGGAGCCAGGCGGTATCCCACCGAGACGACAATCATCCTCGTCGCCTCGGCAATGTCTCTCGATATGTTATCGTGCGCATCCACGGTCCCGAACAGCCACCCTCCACCTTCGAGGAGACGGCGTTGGCGACATGTATATAGATTATTGCGTCCCCAAAACCGAAAATAAGAAGGACGACCCAAACCAGCAACAAAAACACACCCAACCTGTACATTCTGCGGACAGGGAACAACGCGTTTGCGATATATTGCGTCCCCAAAAACCAAAAAATAAAAATGACCCCAAGGCAACAAACAAAACACACCCAACCACTAGCTTACTTCTGCGGATTGGTGACGGAGCATTATTCCCACAGGGCCGATTACCGATGGCCAATCGTCNNGGGGGGGGGGGGGGGGGGGGGGGGGGGGGGGGGGTGTACTCATAGCCGTGCATACCGTTGTCGTTAGAATATTGACTTCGCATTCCTACAAAGTCGGGACGGAGCGCGCCGGGTTCTCACCGGACCAGGCTCTCAAGCGCGAAGCGCCATGAGGTATTCGGTGAGTCGAATGGAGGACGCAATGCTGCAGCCTGCTACGGGTGTTCTGCATCTTGTGCTTACTTGATGGCAGCTGCGCATGACTTGATGTTATTGCTGGTGCATTTCTTTCTTTTTTTGGGGGGGGGGGCTTGAACATTACGGTGATGACCAGGACTACCCAGAGAAACAAACAACGAGCCTTGTTCTTTTTTTTCGTGTGGGCTGGGCGGGTGTAGGTGTCCCAAGACTTTTGTTTTTTTTGGGGGGTGCTCCACACCCTTCCTGCAAGCTTGCAGCAACGGAACCCCCCCCTCCCCCCCCCC